CCTGTCTTCAGGGAAATCCTTCCTAATGCTGGACCCAAAGTCAACTCTGTTAATCAAAGGAACTCAGCCACACCTGCCTCTTCCAGGAGCAACTGAAGTGCTTCTTTTTTTTTTTTTTTTTTTTTAATCAACAGTCAGTTACCTATTCAGCAGTTACTGGGCTCTACCCAAGCCCAAATGTCACCATGAGACCAAAGCAAATGCAGAAACAGGTTACTTTTCCAGGAGCACAGAATCAATTGGAGGACAAGGAAACAAGATAAGGCACGGTGGTCAGGCTTGGCTGTGTGGACAGATATGTCAGTGGTTTGCAGCTTTTGGGGTCCTGAATGAGAGAACAGGTCCCTCTCCTGTCAAGACAATGTGCATATCACACTCACTTCTGCATATAAGTTCAGGGGTCCTCAGACCCGAGGTCCACTATGGAGCCCCCTCCACCACCACCACTTCCCCCAGGCTGCAAGGTCCCTAAGCCCCTGAAGAGTCTGAGGGGGATACAGGTCCCGCTTGATATTTCACAGGACTGTCTGCCCCGCTGCCGGAGGGCCCACGCAGACGGGAAATCTTGTGTCAAACTTCGCAGGACGGATGGGTGGAGTAGGCTAGTTCAGATTGAGGGTCAGAGAGGATGGAAGTAAGTCAGCCCGCTGCTGTCCCACCGCTCGGCCGGGTCCAGGGCTGGGTCCAAAGAGCGCTTGATTCAAGACGGGCCACTGGGTGGACAGAGACAACAGATACACAAACACGAAGTCGGACACAGACACATCAAAACTATACAGTACACAACACGCTCTGAGACAGAGGTACATACTAGCCCCGAAGACAAAACCGTGCAAAATTGCACAGATGTAAAAGCACAAAGGCCCAGCTACGCCCAGTCAACCAACCGATCGATCTAAACACGTAGATAAAAGAGACCCAAATTCAGACTCGCTAGCGCCGAAACCCTCACAGACACGCCGCGGGCGGGTGCGGAGATGGGCAGGGCCTCCCAGGTCGAGGCAGGGTCAAGGGTCAGAAGGCGGAGACGCGCCCAAGATGGCGGCCTCCATGTGCGACGTGTTCTCCTTCTGCGTGGGCGTGGCGGGCCGGGCCCGGGTCGCCGTGGAAGTCCGCTTTGTGAGCAGCGCCAAGGTGAGGCCGGGGCGGACCCCGTCGGCAGCCCCCACCCCGTCCGGCCTTGGAGACAGCCCCGCGGGGCCCTATGGCCGGAGCCTAAAGGCTACTCTGCCGCTCGGACGCCGCGGCTCGGCCCCTGCTCCCGGCCCACGGGCTCCCTGTCTGTCCCGGCGCGCAGGCTTCCGGGGTGGTCACGCGGAAACCAGGGCCTGCAGAGTCTCGGTGCGCGCCCCCTCCCCGCGGAACCCGGCCGGCCTGCCAGTGGCGCTGCTGCGGCTGCTCCCGGCGGGGCTGGGGGGCGCCGGGCCAACGGACCAGGCTGGGGGACATTGCTGCTGGGCCCCGGGAGCGGCGGGCGGGGACGTGCTGAGCAGAGGGAACTGAGGTATAGAAAAAACGAGGGTCCACAGGGAACTTTCTGAGTGAGATTTGGGGTTATGGAGTGAGTAGAGAGGCCAGGACTCTTCTCGAAGGGCTTTGGAGTGGTAGGGAATTTTAACTGGAGCCCAAAGCCCGTGGGAGCATTCGAAGGCTTTAAACAGGGCGTGATTTTTGTCGTTTTATTATCGTGTTTTGAAAGTTCATTGTAGAAATTGATACAAAATGCATGTAAGGAGAGAGAAGGTAAAAATCGCTCATAATCCTACACGTGTGCAAATATATAAAGTTACATTTTTAGAAAGTGCTTTTTGATGTAAACTTTTCAATATCAATAAACCTATTTCTACATATTAATTTTTAAGAACTGAGTAATAGTCTGTTTCATGGGCGGGCCACAGTTCACTCAACCAGGTACCTGTTTATGGACTCTTATGTTGGATCTTATTTTTTTGACCCTGAAGTCAAAGGTCTTGGAGCTCATTTTCTGTGCACACATCCTTTTTTCCTCTCCAGCACTGAGTATTTTGTTTCTTAGTTATCTTTTGGTATGTGCAAATTGATTATGTTATCAATTGATATGTGCAAAATGGAATTACTTTGTTCTCATTTACATTTCTTTGTTGCCTGGTGAGCTTGAATTTATCATGTGTTGTGGCTGTGTGTATGCTTGGTCCTTGTCCCAGATGTCAGCCTTCTAGTCATCGGTCTCCTGCTCTCAGCATCTTCATACTGATCCAGTTCCCCAGCCTAACCTTGCATTGCTCTCCTTCCACTCCAGAGGCATCTGGAGCATTCCTCTCCTTCCATGGTAGATCAGCTCCCATACATCCTTGGTCTCCTCAGCTGCTCACATCTCCATCTCCTCCCCAGGGCCTCTAGTGCTCTTGGTTGGCTCACAGTTTGATGGTGTCTCCACCGCTCCTAGCATGCAGAGATATTCACCTATACCTTCTCTTAGCCCCCATCCCTCTGCCCCCTCCTTTCTGCACTTCTTCCCTCTCACTTCAGCCACTCTCCTTGTCCAGGTGTTCTATCCCAGTCTTCTATCAAAACCCCAGCTCTGGAAGAATGAGCTGGCCACCCTCTCCATGCCCACACCTGATCTGCTGCTGGAGAAAATCACATACCTACCCAGACTTGATGACAAGATGCATTTTCCTGGGTTTTTTGCGTCTACATTCATCAAGTGAGATTGATGTGTGGGTTTTTTCTCTGTGCTGTCTTCCTCAGGTTACCACATCAGAGTAATGCTTGTTTTTTGGTAAAATGGAGAAGCTTTCCATTTTTTCCTCTATTATTGAATAGTTTAAATAGCATGACAATTACTTGTGCTTTGGTTTGAGAGAGCTGGCTCATGAAACCAAATAGACTAGGGGTCTCAGATGGGGGTAGATTTTGACCACTTTCTCTGTTGCTTCTATGGATATTGGCAGGAATGATTTTCAAAAATTTACCAACTACTATGCCAAGGACACAACCAATCAGAACAGAAACCTGACCAAATACAGTGGATGCCAACCAAATGCCATACTGGTGCACATCAGCCAGATATCGGCACTGCTTATTAGTCTGTTGAGGCTTTTTTCCTTTTGAATTCAGTTTTGGTAATTTATATTTTCTAGAAAATCATTCTATTTCATAAAGATTTTAAAATTTACTACATAGTCTTAGAGTTTTGCACAATCTTTTTTTAAAATTTACTTTTCAAGTTGGAACTATCTTTGCATAGTTTGTGCCCTCTCCATTCAGGTTCAATTTTCTCCAAGCTTCTTGGTAATATGAATTAGAGCTGTTTTTCTTGAAACACTTCCATATGTTTTGCGGATGAGTGGTTTCATGGAGGAATAGCTCTGATTATTTTCCCTTTGTTTTGATTACTAAATCTTTTCTACATTTGGTCCTCCAGAAAGAGATTAATATTTATCTAATATTAAGATTTGAGATTGGCAGAGATAACATGGGTCTCTGTCATATCTTTTTATTCCCTAGAGGAAGGCCAGATTTTCATTTTGCTCACTTGGGTCTCAGGGGCTACAAGGCATGGAGGTGAGGCTTCCAGGAAGACAGCCAAGGGTGCATCCATGGCTGTGCCCCGTGGTTTTATTTCAGCTGTCCCTCTCTACTGTTAGAGCTCCCCGAGTTGTTCAGAGGGGTGAGATTTGTGGCTCATGGGTTGCTCAGGGCCTGTCTTGGTCTACACATCCTGCCACTCTGACTTTGGGAGACACCCCTGTCTAGCCAGAGTGCCAGTGCTAGAAGGAAGCACGGAGCTACCGCGGAGGCCACATGACAGGACATTTCACTGCTGTGTCACTCTCCCTTTTGTGACAGTTCATTGTTGGCAGGGGCACCCCCCTATTTTCTAAGTGAACAGTGGGAGTAAGTGCCCAGCAGGGCCAGTAACTGCCTGAGTCCTGAAGCTGTTTCCTGAGTCCCTTTGCATGTTTGAGAAATGGCAACTCAGCGATTGTTTTCTCATCCTTCATCCCTTATATGATGCATACAGTGCTTTAGACCAGTGTTTCTCAAATTTCAACATGCATGTGACTCACCTGGGCATCTTGTTGAAAAGTAGACTCTGATTCAGCAGGTCTGGGGTGAGGCCTGAGGTTCTGCATTTGTAACGGTCTCCCGGGTGATGCCTGTGCTGCCAGTCCATCACCTCACTTTGAGTAGTAAGGAGCTAGAGCTCATGAGGTACGTTCACCTGGGCTATATCATTGCATCCTGGAAGCTGCGTGGTAGGTATTATTATACTCACTTTTCATGTGGGAAACAGATGCAAAGAAGTGAAGCAACTGGCTCAAAGGTTCACAGCAAGTTAGCATTAGGACTGGTGATAGGCTTAGTTATTCCTTTCAGTCTAACACCTGAGAACTTGTTGGGTGCCAGGTACTGTGCTAGGTGCTGCAGGTACCCAGCCGACCAGGGAAGTAGGGCATGTTCTCCTCCAAAGTAGGCCTCCCTCTCCCGTGGTGTAGGATTTCTCTGCAACCCTGAGCAGCAGTATCACTGCCAGGATCCTGGAGGGGCAAGTGGGTGTCTCAGAGAAGGCTGCCCTGCCATTCACCAGGCCCTGCTTTTACCAGGTCCTGGTATAGGAGGTCCCAGCCTGCTATGAGCCTTGGCCCTGTGGACCATTCCAAAAATTCTCCTGCTCTGAGTACTCCAAGATGGCTGATGTGGTGTCTCCCTCCCCATCTCAGGCCCTCTGCTCTGAACAGGCCGAAAGAAGGGTGACTGAAAATAGGTCAGAGCTGCATTTCTAGAGGAGGCAGTTATGGAGGGTGCCAGCCATGCTCCATGAACCCTCCTGAGGCAGAGGCCTCTGCTGAGAGGGAGGCACATGGGGGTGAGGCTGGGTGGCCTTCTCAGAGGCCTTGGAGCTATGTCCTCTGTCTCTGCTTATGGACATCCTATTCCTTCTCTGCCCTCTTAGGGAAAGGGGCTGTTTGCCACCCAGCTGATCCGGAAGGGGGAGACCATCTTCGTAGAACGGCCCCTAGTGGCTGCACAGTTTCTCTGGAATGCACTGTATCGCTACCGAGGTGAGCACATCTCGCCCACTCTCATAGCTGCTGGGCCAGCTGCCTTTGCACATGGAGGAGAGCTGTGTTCATCCCTACTGGCTGTCGTCTCTGAACTCTGGGTGCTGGGAGGAATGGCTGTCTTCCCTTGAAGAACCATGCCTCCGTCTAATCTCCAGCCATTTGGGGCTATGAGTCTGCAGGAGAGAGGCTCTTCTGAAGTGCTCCCTGGGGGAGGACTGTCATGCAGGTGGAACTCAGTCTGGCCCGTAGTCGAAGGGACTGGATGTCATCCTGAAGGGCTCTGTGCCAAAGTGCAGCCCTCCACCAAGGGGGGCTATGTGCCCATTGGTGAAAAAAAGCTGAGTTAGGGGTCAGAAGCAAGTAGGATGCCCTTAGCTTTGCCAGCCACCTGCTTTTTTCACGCTTTTCTTAGGCTACAGACAGACTGTGAAAGGAGGGTCACTTGGTTCCAGAATGTGGAGAAAGCCCAGTCTGGGGAGGGGAGGGGAGCCCCACAGACTAAGGGCCGTTGAGAAGCAGGGAGAGTCTGACAGGAGGGTTGGGGACTCCAGAGACGGAAGAGGGAATCATCTACCTTTGAATGCATGTGAAATTCATGAATTCATTCCATTCTTTAACATAGTCATTCATTCACACACTTCCCAAACATTTATTGAGCACCCCCTATGTGCCAGGCACTATTCCAGCCCTGGGGACACTGCTGTAAAAAAGGACAAACGTGGCCCCTGCTCTGAAGACACACTGTCATGTCTGTCTCGCTCCCTCAGCTTGCGACCACTGCCTTCGGGCACTGGAGAAGGCAGAGGAGAATGCCCAGAGGCTGACCGGGAAACCAGGCCAGGTGCTGCCTCACCCTGAGCTGTGCACCGTGCGCAAAGACCTCCACCAGAGCTGTCCCCACTGCCAGGTGAGCATCCGGGGGAGTGCACCTGAAAGGGGGCAGGTAGGGGAGGCCTTAGCTGAAGTATTCTTTGGGGAGACAGGCGTGAGGACAGACCTGGTCATGGCACTTGAGAGCCACAATGTCGGCAAGACATTGAAAAGGCTCAGTTACTGGTCCAGTTTCATCCTCCCTGTTCCAGTCCCGTTGTCTAGAAAATAGGCTTAGTGGGAGCTTGCCCTCTTCCTTGGAGCCTAATGGGGGTTCTCTCCTCTACCTGAAAAGCTTTCTTTCCTCCCCATGGTTTTAGAGCTTGGATTAGGTACCCCTCTCACATCCCCCCAGAGCACCAGATGCTTTCTGATCTTGTGATACCACTGAGGTACTGCTCAGGGGCTATTTGTGGAAGGAATGCAGTTAGAGGAGGCGAGTACATGGGACATGTGTGCCTTACCCCGTGGCCAGATCCTAGGGTACTGACCTCTACCCCTCCAACAGGTGATGTACTGCAGTGCAGAATGTCGGCTGGCAGCTGCTGAGCAGTACCATCAGGTCCTGTGCCCAGGCCCCTCCCAGGATGACCCCCTGCATCCTCTCAATAAGCTGCAGGAAGCATGGAGGTAGGTGGCATTTCATCCCTTCTTTCCTTTATCCTTCCCTCCCTGTCTGGGAAGGGACAGGCCTGCCTGCTTGCCTCGGCTCAGCAGATACAGCTATTTTTCTTAAGTTACCATCCTCTAGATTTTTCCTCCATTCTTAGGGTTAAACAGAGGGCACATCCTCCAACCCCTTGCCTTTAATCTGAGCTGCCAGTCCCATCATCCTGGGCATTTTACACACTCCCAAAAAGAGCCCCATTAAGCCCACAGGAATGTAAAGTTCTGCCCAAGTCCTTGCTGATGACTCTCTCTCTTTGGTTATAAATGGGATTGGGAGGAAGGATTCTCTGTAGCAATCAGACTGGGCTTCCCTGAACTCAGCTACTGGGGAGGGAATGTCTAGGCCAGATCTCTTTCTTTCTCCCCAGGAGTGTTCACTACCCCCCTGAGACTGCAAGCATCATGTTAATGGCCCGGATGGTGGCCACAGTGAAGCAGGTGAGCCCACCGGACCCTCCCAGGGAAGCTGACACTGGTCTCATTCAACCCTTGGCCTCAGTCTCCTCCTCACCTCAAGACCCTGGCTTGGATGCAGAGTTCCTCCTGGGCTTCCCAAAAGAGAGCCACTTGCTACGTAAACCTTAGGAGTATCTAACCACAAATCTGGCAGGTGGAGTGGGGGCTCATCTTGCCTGTAGTCTTTGATCTATGAGAGTACTTCTTGTGGAGCAGCAATTCATGCATTCAATTTACAAGCACCACTTCTTCAGGATTGTGTCTCTCACATAAAGCGAGAGAAGCCACTCTGACCCCATCTATTAATATTGTTGCTCCTCAGCCTCATTCTCCTGTTTTCCTGGTGGTGTTGAATTGGCTAGCTTGGCCCCAGGAAGGGTCTGCCTAGAAGCTCATGTGTGATGGTGTTTCTCTGATGGCAGGGGCTTTAGAATCACAGGCTACCTCTCCTACGTGGGCGGGAGTGGCAGTAAGGAGGTGGGTCTCTGTTGAGTCCACGTGTGCACATGCCTGCACGGGCATATGTGAACGTGGCCCTGAAGCATATTTGTTCACTGCAGGCTAAGGATAAGGATCGTTGGATCAGGCTCTTCTCCCAGTTCTGTAATAAAACAGCAAATGAGGAGGAGGAAATTGTCCACAAACTCCTGGGGGACAAATTCAAGGTTAGTCTTCTACCATGACCCCCACCCCGACCCCCACCCCCAGTATCCTGGGATGCTCTGTGGCTATCTCAGAGGAGCTCCACATTTGGTCCCTTCCCAGCCCCAGGAGGGGGTTAGAGCCTGGGGCCAAAAATCTATTCAGAGGACTTATATTCCTGCCACTGTTTAACTGCATGACCTAAGATTGGGAAGTGAGGTGATGACAGAGGAAGGAGGGGTTGGGTGCCCTGATGCGGGAAGGCAGTACCTCATCATAGGATAGCAGTAGGCAAATCAGGTATAATGGAAAATGGAGGGTTGGGAGTCCACAGGGTCAGGGAGCAATGTGACACAGGAGAATTTTAGCTGCCAATGTACTTAGTGCCCACTCCCAGTCAGTTACACACTCTCATTAAGGACAGCAGACTTCCATGCAGGAGCTGCCTGAAGGCGGAGGCAGGTGTGTGAATGGGCATCTGGGGTGGGCCTTCCTGCACTGAATTCTGAGGAAAGGAGAGGGAGAGTCCAGCTGGTCTAGAGGCCAGGTTGGGGAGCCTGGAAGGGGCTGGTGAGGACAGACATTCTAAGCCAGGCTGCCTCAGTCCTGCTGGTACAAGTGCTGGAAAACGGAGGAATTTGGGATTTGCCACCCTTGGTTGGAGCAGGCCAGCGGACTGCCAAGGCTCTTTGGAAATAAGGACTCTGTGGCCTTCCTGTGCCCCAGGGAAAGCTCATTCTAGAGCTGGCCCTTTTTCCTTCCCTCACCTGGTCTTCTGGGCCCTGCCTGGGTGCTAATGGGAAATCCCCAGGGATGCAAGTCTCTCCCTGTTTCCCCTAAACCAGGGCCAGCTGGAACTTCTGCGGAGACTCTTCACAGAGGCCCTTTATGAGGAAGCACTCAGCCAGGTGAGCGTGGGGAAGGTGGGACCAATGGCCTCCCAGTTACTCAACTTTCCAGGAGCAACTAGGTCAGCATCTCCTACTGGGACAGCTAAGCCAGAGCCGACTTGGTCTTCTGGAGTTGGGATGGGACTGACTTACGGAAGACTTTCTGAACAGAGAGTTGTATCAGGAAGAAAAGCAAGTGGCTGTAACCTGAGCACTCATCCCTCTTCCTCCCCTACAGTGGTTCACTCCAGATGGATTCCGGTCTCTCTTTGCTCTTGTTGGGACCAATGGCCAAGGAATTGGGACCAGGTTAGGAGAGAATGTTCCAGAGCTATTGGACTTGTCCCTCAGGGCGTGGGTGGGAGATTGACTGAGGAAGGTAGCCACAGCTCTTTTCAAGAGTAGGGCGGGTTAGGGTGTGACTCTGTGGCCAGAGTGCTGGACTGGACACAGTGGTGGGGCTCAGAAAGACTGAGACAGTGGAGTCTGCTCTTGGGAGCCGTGGTCTCCTGGGGAAGATAGGACCCCCACCCTGGAGAAAGAAATGGGCTTAACTTTCCTAGAGGTGGAGAGCTCTGTGAGCTGGGCCTCTTCCTCTCCAACCACGGCTGCCTGGGACCCCCAGCTCCCTGAGCCAGTGGGTCCATGCCTGTGACGCTCTGGAGCTGAAGCCTCAGGACCGCGAGCAGCTGGATGCCTTCATTGACCAGCTGTACAAGGACATCGAGGCAGGTTGGTGAGATGGAGTCTTGGCCTCACTCCACCATGGAGATGCCCCCCAGTCAGATGATGGACACGCAGTCTTCCCCCAGGAAGCTCTGAGTTAATTATTGGGGAAGGTAATCCCTGTATGCCTGTGGGAAGCTTCAGGTCTGTCCATAGGACACACAGATGAGAAATAACCCTGAGAGCCAGGCAGAGGCTCAGTGCTGGGGGTGGGGGAGTGCTGATAAATACAGTGATAGTGTTGATAGAAAGGCAGGGCTTGTGCCTCCGGGGAGCAAGTTCAAGTAAAACAGTCATGATTGGGCGGCAAGACTGTGGAGCCAGTGCGTGTCATTAGAAGCCTAGTCCTTTTTCCATCTATAAAATGGGTAGAATGACATCTGCATTTTCCTGTCTTACAGCAACTGGCGAGTTCCTTAACTGTGAAGGATCTGGCCTCTTTGCGCTCCAGAGCTGCTGTGAGTCCTGGCATTGAGGAAGGTGGCCTCGTGGCCACAGTTCCTCTCTCTCAGTTGTCCCCTTCTAGGCTGATAGAGTTGAGTCTGGGAGTGGGGTTAGGTCTGAGCTTCCTTGGGGATTCCCCTGGGCCTGTTTGGTTCCAGCATTTTTTCATGCATTCATTCATTGGACTGCTTGTGCCTTAATGTATGTTTCTGTATAAAACCTTCCAGTAGGCCAGGCCCTGTGCTAAGGCAGGGCACAGAGCTCTGATTTTTCCAAAGGGAAGTATGGGCTTTGCACCGCCACTGCTCTGTGAGATTTGGTGGGGGAGTGTTGTGAGAGCTTGGGAGGCCCTCAGGATCCTGGGAGGAGGGAGCTCAGGCTAGAAGGCGAGTCTCTTCAGCACCTGATGGGAGGTGCAGAGTCAGCTCGGACTACTGTCTTTTCCATATCTCAGCCTCCCACCCTCTGCTTTTTCCTCACTGCAAACCCCTCCTCCCAGGCTCTGGGGCCACTCTACCCCTCCCAAACTAGGCTCTCAGAGGACCTGGCTCGGCTGTTACCAGACATCCAATAGCAGACAGGACTGAGTTAAGTGGTCTGGCATGGCCATCCCTTTCACAGCCCTGTCCCTCCCTTTGCAAGACACTGGGAACACAACTGAAAATCAAGTTGACCAGTGAGGAGGAGGGCAGGGGCAGTCAGGGCGGGTGGGAGAGGGGAGTGATGTGGGAGGGTGTTGGTGCCTGTGTACTGTGGTCTTCAGGAAAGAGCACTGGATGGGGAGTCAGGAAACTTGGGAGTCAGGACCTGCACAACCTTAACAGAGATCAGAGAACAAGGAAGGATGCGACCCAGTGCTCTGCAGAGTTGAGGCTGTTATTTTTATTAGTCAACAGTCCTCATTACCTGCCTCTTATGACCCAGGCAACCACAGCTGTGTCCCCAATGCAGAGACCTCCTTCCCAGAAAACAACTTCCTTTTGCATGTCACTGCCCTGGAGGATATTAAGCCAGGAGAGGTGAGGGGGCTGGGAGCTGTTGGGGGTTGGTGGGCAGTGGGCCTTGCAAGTTCTGTGCAGGGATTGGGAGCAGTGGTGGCTAGAGCCCCAAGTCGAGGCTGTTGGCTTGAATCTCCACGTGCCCCAGGGCATGAGTCTTTTTGCCCATGGGTATGCTCTACCCCACCCCACTTCTTCAAAAATAATTCCAGAAAGCCTCAGACAGTGTTTGAGACAGCTGTGTGGCCAGGTTCTTGTCCCCGGCCACCTTTTGATCAACAAGGCTGTGGCTTCTAAGAAAGCAGGAGATGGCTCTTTATGGCTTGGGCTATGGGGTGCTAGTGTGGGTTTGGGGTCCTGGCTGTTGGTGCAATGCACAGAGCCTGGTTGAATCTCCTCCAGGGCAAGTAGCATCGCACCAAGATAACCTCTGACCCCAGCCACAGATCTTGGCCATGGACTGCCTTTAACCATGGCCTGAGGCTAACTATACAGTCCCTCTGTGTCTCAGACACAGGTTGTTAGAGCCTCATAGTGGCCTGCCTGCTGTGGGACGGGAATGGATCAGGGCAGCCCACCCTTTTACTAAAGGGCAATTCAGGCCTGGCTCCTGGGGATTGGGCAGTGGTGGAGATAGGGCAGTGGTTGGGGAGGCCCTAATCCCATCTAGTAGAGAGCACAGACCATCAGATTCCACCTTTCCTCTGCCCTCCAGGAAATCTGTATCAGCTACTTAGACTGCTGTCAGCGGGAGCGCAGCCGCCACAGCCGCCACAAGATCCTCAGGTGCCAGCTGGGGACGTGGTGGGCAGCTGGGCTCTGGGGTCCTCCAATCCCGGTGGATGCCTGACTTTTCACCCTCTCCACCATCCTCCCACCCCCTGCAGGGAGAACTATCTGTTTGTCTGTTCCTGCCCCAAATGCCTGGCAGAGGCTGATGAACCCAATGTGACCTCAGAGGAGGAGGAGGATGAAGAGGAGGAGGAAGGAGAACCAGAAGATGCAGAGTTGGGGGATGAGATGACTGATGTATGATGTTGCCCTACCTGGAAGGGGCCCTACCGCAGACCCTGCCAGAAAAGGTGGCCTTCCCGCAGAGAAGAGGCTTGGAAGGAACTCCCCACTCCCGTTGCCTGCTTTCCCCCAATTCCAGCTATTTCTGCTGGAGGGTAGGACAGAGGCTGGATCCTAGGCCCTCCACGCCCCCAGTAGACCTCATGACCTGGACACTGCTGCTGAGTGGCTCAGGCTCTGCGCTGTCACTGAGCCTCTCAGAACTGGCCTCCCCGCTGGCCTCTGCTCCAGGGTGTGAGCGGCTGGAACCAAGGTCAGGGCCTAACAGTGTTTCTTCCCCTTGGCTCCATGGCCACGCTTATCCATCCACCTGAGGCTTCACCCCTCTCCACTTGCTAGGAGGGGGTAACAAAGTGGCAATCTGACCTCACTGAAGAAGAAAGGAGAGGGGGTGAGACACCCTCACCTTCCTCCCCACCTCCCTCCCTCATAGCTGATAAGGCAACTGTCTGACCACTAGCACAGCTGGGAGAGGCAGGAAGGAAGAACCAGGCCTCCAGAGCATCTTCCCTAAGGCTCTCCGCCAGGGAACATGGAACTAGGGGTATTACCTCTCTCTCCCCACATCCCTACCCCCAGCACTTGGACATCGGGGGGAGTGGAGATTCACGCCTTCCCCAGACTCCAGAATCTCTGTACTTTGTGCCTTGCCCCTCAGGCGCTGGCACAGTGGCTGGCCCCGTGGGGTACAGAAGAGGCCTCTGCCTCCCTCAGGAGGGTCATGTGGGGGACCATCACCTCTTCCTCACAGCCTCTTCCCATTGAGGATTGTAGCAGGACAGCTGACACCTGGGGGATGACAGGCCTATGCTCCTTAATGTAGGGTGCTCTAGAATCTTCCCTGAACCTGTTTAACATGGGTCAGTGAGGGGCTTTCCTGGCCTCTCCATGTTTGGGGTCTCCACAGAGGAATGTTGAAGTCTTCCAGAAACCTAGAGGAGCTACGCTAGATACTCTGAGATTAGCCCTGACTTTGTCCCCCTCCCACAGATTAGCACTACCCCTCACTCTTGGGTTGGATGCTGTGGGAATTATAACCCATCACTCGCAATTCCTTTCTGCCTACCTTACCTGAGGGGTCTGCCATGTCCCTCTGCTGTGGGATCCCAGGGAGGGTAGGTGCTCACCCCACAGGCACTTTCCTGGATCTTGAGCAGGTGGAGTCTGCCGGTCTGGCCTATTGGGTTCTTACTCCTTCACAGCAGTCAGCATCCTCCCACCCCTGCCTGTGCACTATTCTCAATAAAATGTGAGTAGTGACAGGCCTCTGCAGGAATGCTTTGTGGAGAATGGCTTGACAAGCTCCCTGGAGCACACAGCCGTCATGCAGGTGCTGCAAAGGCACATAGGTTAGACCAGGTGAAGGCAGGAGATGGGAACTCCAGCTTCCCAGTTCGGGCTCCTCTCTGGTCTCGTCCATACTCTGCTGTGCAAATGTTTCCAAAGTCCAAGAGCAAGGGTCCTCTGAGGCCCAGTATGGATCCCCAGCACCAGCCTCTGAATCTTCTCCCCCTGGGGACTGAACTATGGTTTCCTGAGTTCTTGAGCAGGAGGCTGTGTTGGGATCTAAGATGAGCAGCCCGAGCGCTGGTCCTAGGGGACCTTGAGCAAGTCATTTATCCTCTCTCGGCCTCAATTACCTCCCTTCAACACAAGGGCATGGAACCAGATGAGTGAGTTTGGAGGCCCCTCCCGCCCCTGTGTGCTCTTATTCTAGGACACAGTTGCAACCCTGATGAGAGGCTTTATTGCTAAAAAGTCAGTGAGGGTTTATTAAGTCCTCAAACACCAGCTCCTTAAACCACTCCAGCAACTGCTGTGAAGGACATTGCGAGGAAACTCTGGGTTGGGTTGGAGCCAGGTGGGATGTGACAGGCCACAGGTGGCTCTCAGGCCACCTGTGTTTAGCCCCTTTTGTTCCAGATTCTAGCCAAGAAGGCCTGGGCCTGGCTCTTGCCTCTTCCCATACGATGAGACACATTTGGGGGCCCTGGGGACAGGAAGGCCTTAGCTTCCTTTAGCCTAGCCAAGGCCCAAGCCTTTTTCCTCTACCTGGCTCCACCTGTCCCCAAATGCTATCCCCAAATCCCAAACAGCAGAATTCCTGGATTTCCCCTTCCTAGCCCAGAGTTGCATATGGCTGGAATGTGGGACCAACTCTTCTACCAGAAGGTCCAGGGTGGTTGCAGCAGCTCAAAGGTGGGGATGCTGGTGACATTGACTGGGATGGAAATGATGGCCCATGGCAGCCCGTGCTGTTCCAGGGAGCGGCGGATCATGTAGCTGGGAGGGCATGAAGAAAGGTGGCGATGGTCACTTTCTCAGCACCCCATCATCCCCACTGACCCCGTCACTGGGAGTTCCAGAGCCCAAGGACTTTTTTGGCCCTTTAACTGGGGCACCCCAAGATGAGGCCTGCGGGAAGGGACCGGAGATTGCCCTTGACCTCCCCGAGTCATGGCACCCAGCCTGGTGCTGATACAGCCAGAGACAAGGAGCCCTCACCCATCTCGGCCGAGCAGGAAAAGGGCAGGGATGTCAGCCGTGCGCTGGGTACTGTCCTGGATCATCTCCACATAGAAGCTGTCATTGTCAACCGCGTTGTCAGAGATGATCACTGCCCTCCCGCCGTGCTCCTGCACCACCCGGGTCTTGGAGAGGAAGGAGCAGCCCCTGGAAGAGGTGGTGATGAGACAAAAGGAAAGGCAGGAGTTGCCCCTCCCACAGACCGTCACCCTGGGAGGATGAAAGGACCATGGAAAATTTTTTTATAAAGGCTCGTAAATGGCCAAAAGGCATGGATAATCTTAAGACATTTCTTCAAGACCCTTAAAAAAATTAATTATTTAAAAACAGCTCTTTGAAAGCACCACCACCAACATTGGTCTCAGAATCTACCCCGTGCCTGACCTTCCCTTGTGCCAGTGCCTAACCGCTCCTCACCCCCTCTCCACCAGAGCGATCTGGTCCTGGATGAAGAAACCGTTGGTGAGTTCCCCGCAGGCCTCTGAAGGTTCCGCGGGGACGAGGTGAATCTGCTCATACCTTGTGTGCTGAAAGACATTTAGACAGGCCAGAGTGTGAGGAGACATGCCTGCTTTAGGACCCAGCTGACAAAGGGTGAAGGAAACGGGGAGTGGTTTCTGTGCGATGGGCACTTGAGCATTTTACTTAATTCTCGCAAAAGCTTAACTAGTTGTCCTCCCCAACCCTGCCTTTCCGTGAAATAGGGGAGTTGGTATGGACCCAGAGAGGGGAAGTAACTTGCCTTAAGTGACACAGTGCAGAGATAGAGCTAGTAGATCCCTTGGTTTTTCACCATTTCATGTCCCCAAAGAAGACAGCTTGTCCCTCCATCGTGCGCAGGTTTGTATTATACCCAGAGGAGTAGCTGGAAGACCTTCCTTCCTGCACGGCAGCCCCTGGAGGGCAGAGCTGGATTCTGCTCCCTTCCCTGTCCCAGCACTCAGGTATTGGTTGAAGGGATAAGAGGGTCACCTCAGCTTAGTAGGGGGAAGGTGGAGACGGGATCAGAGACCTGGGGGCCTCCTGAACTTACAAAGATACCACCAAAGTCCTTGGCAGGTGTGGCTGTGAAGATGTAGCGAATGTCCCCAGGACTCAGCACTTGGAAGTACAAATAATCATGGATGCGTAAGCCTGAAAGATAAAGAGTACAGATGAGAAACCTCCAGGGAATGAGCTGGTTCGGGTTCAGATCATGGACCTGTGTCTTCAAATGGGCTGGCTATAGTCTGGGCTCAGGGACCCAGCTTCCGCCAAGTGGGTCCTCCAGGTGGTAGAGCAGCTGAGGAGAATAGAGTTGCCCTGGGGAGAATAGAGTTGAGCAGACAGAATTAGCAATCCCAGAGATGTAGCTGCTGTTGCTGCTACACAGGTGAGCCAGGAAGACTGAGAGCTCTAGTATTCTCTCTCTGAGGGTTAATCTGTCTTTGCTCTGAAGTGGACCCGAGAGTTTCAAGGTGGAGCTGTGGTACAAAACAGTCCTCACTAAAACTTAAAAGTTGACTGTCTGGTGCCGGCCTGGTGGCGCAAGTGGTTAAGTGCGCGCGCTCTGCTGCCGCGGCCTGGGGTTCGCCGATTCAGATCCCGGGTGCGCACCGACGCACCGCTTGGCAAGCCATGCTGTGGCAGCGTCCCATATAAAGTGGAGGAAGATGGGCATGGATGTTAGCCCAGGGCCAGTCTTCCTCAGCAAACAAAGAGGAGGATTGGCAGATGTTAGCACAGGGCAGATCTTCCTCACACACACACAAAAAAGTTGACTGTCTGGTTCCACTGCCACTCCCCTAGTTCAGCCACTATCGTTTCTTGTCCTGACTATTCCAGCTTCTTAACTGGTGTGTCTTCCTCCATTCTTGCTCTCTAAGGTCCATTCCCCAAACAACAGCCAGGGACCTTCTTAAAACGTCCTAAAGCAAATATGACCATGTCACCACTCATGGCTTTAATACCCTTCAACAACTTCCCTTTGCACTTAAAATCTAAACTCTTAGCTAAGGCCTGCAAGACCCTGCTCCATCTGGCCCTTGGCTACTCCTCCAACCTTATCTCTTCCTTCCTATGTTGAAGCTACGCTGGCTTCCTTCCAGTTTCTTCACTTCTCTGAGTCGTCTTGCAAGCTGCTCCCTCTATCTGGGAGGCTTCCTACCCTCACCCTACCCCACCTCTACCTCTTTGCCTGGCTCACTCCTACTCATCCATTAGGTCATAGCTTAAATGTCACTTGCTCAGAGAAACCTTCTGCCTATGACTGCCCTCCCCTTATGCCCATTCAAAATGTACTTTTTCTCCGTTGAGATTTTCAACATATTTTATAATTATACAGTATTCATGATTTTTTGTTTAATGCCTGTCTCCTCCACTAGGGCAAGGACCATAAGTTTGTAGCTTCATTCAATGCTGTATCTGCGTTACCTAACACAGTGGCTAGGATGTAGTGAGTGCTCAATAAAGACTGTTGAATGAGTGAACAACAACTATTTTCAGCTCCATTGCCCTGAGGAAGAGAACTGCCAGCATGACCAAATTTTTCTGGGGTGTGGGAACATCTCTTCAGCACCAAACTTTAATGTTTTACCTGGACTTGAGTCCCTGGTTTTCTTAGCCCAGAGAGACTGAGGAATGTGGAAGGGTAGAAGCTGCTGCCACAGGTCCATTAGTCTATCAACAAACTACCAAGCCACTACTATGTGCCAGCGTTAGGACTGATTGTGCCTTTAGCTGTCATTGTCTACTGCCCAAATCACAGCCGCCAGGTAGAGCTCCATCCATTGGCTTGGCACTGGGCTATACAGCCTTTTATCCTGGGAGTGGTGACTTCCCATTAGACACAGATACACTCCCAGGAAGCCTTCCTGGACTAGCACAAACTCCTCCTCCTCCCCACACACATCTTTGCATCTGCTGATCTGTGTAAATTAAATGTGGGTATACGTATGTGCTCATGTATGTGTGTGGGTGTGTATGTGTGCTCATGTAGGTGCAAACAGGTTGTGTGTGTACCTGCGTGCTTGTGCGTGTGAGCCCACGTGTAGGAATGTGTGCTCCTGTATATTGAGTGCTCACATACATGTCTCTAGCCGTCCCTTATTCCTCCTCCTGGTCGCCCCCTCAGCCACCTGGGTCGGCGCTAGTGGGGTCTGGGGGCAGTCTTGCTTCGGCGTGAGGAGCTGAGGACTAAGAGCCTAGCCTCAGGCCGTGCTCAGCTCATGTCCCTGGGGACCAGCACCCACCCACTCCAGTCTCCCGTCCCCCGACCTGCCCTGCCCTGAACTCGCGGGGTCCCCAAGGTGACCCGTGGCCCCCGGCCCGAGACGCGTGCCAGCTGGACGGCCAGCCCCGCCCAGCAGCGCAGCCCCGCCCGTTGCCACTCACCGTGGGCCGCGACGCACGCGGGGAGCCAGAGCACGAGACAACACCAGCCCGCGGCGCCGGGGACCATCTCCAGGGCCCGGCCCGGCACCGCGCTTCCTCCCCCTGGCCCGCCGCGCGTCGCTCGCCGGACTTCAGCCTGACAGCTGCTCCGGCCTCCCGCCCCCAGACCCGCTCTCGCCGCTGGTTGGTGGACGGGAACGAGGACCACGGCTGATTGGCTCTGACGCCTGCTTATATAACTGCACTTTCCGCCTCTGCGCCTTAGCCCACTTCCTACTGGTCGAGAGAAGTGGGGCCGAGGGGTGATTGGTCTAAACTCTTAACAGCAACTGCCGGCCCCCACCCCAACCCCGCCCCAGCATTTCTCAGTGTAGGTTCGACTCTTCAGGACCTGGCGGGCTGGTGGGCGGGCCGGGGAGGACAGGGAAATGGAGGTGGGGACCCTGCAGGACTCGCTTTAGCCGCCGAAAATCCTGGTCGTCAGCTTTTGCGGTCTCGGCCGGATCCTCCCCGCGGCCGCCTTGCACGACAGCGATTTGCCTTCTCCCAACTGTGCCTCCCTCTTCTCCACCCCCTCCTTGGGAAGACATTCGTCTAGCGACCCGGTGGTCACCCGCGACCCGCGCTCTGCTCGGCCTCTGCCCATATCCGACAGCGCTTGCGCGCTCACTGTCGGTAGGCGCTGGGGACGTGGCCTGATGCACCCCACCCTGGAGGAGGCTCTAGCCAGTGCAGAGCCAGAAAACGGGCTTTGGGGCCAGGTGCCCACGCCTGCCTTTCTATCAGTTACTGTGTAACTATGACTTTGAACACCTTTCCTAACCTCTCAGCCCCAGCTCCCTCATCTGTAATATGGGCATGATAATAGTACCAAGGCGATAGAGTTGCAAGGATTAAGTGAGACCTCTTACGAAGTGCTTACTTAACATGAGCCTGTCCCACAGTCAGCGTTTAATAAATGTTTGCGTTTATTGCATGCCTTGGTCTGGCGTCCAGGGGGAAAGGGGGAATGCAATTAGGGTTAGTGGGGGTCACGCGGGCTGAGCAAGGACACTACACGCTCAAAGAAAAGGCACGACCGAAATCCGGCGACCTTTCGCTAACCAAAGCTTCTCGCTACAGCACCCTCGGAGGCCCAGCCTCGGGCCCTTCTAGCAACATCGACTCTGTGGTAATGAACCATAGGGTGGCGGAAGTGGCCCGTCCCCTTCCTCTCCCGGTCCAACCGCTTGGTGAAGCTTCTGGGGACTTCTCTGGCGCGGTGCATTGTGGGGTTGTTGGGCGGCCTGGATAAGGAGACGAGAGGAAGAGTAGCGGGCCATTGAATAAGCTTCCAAAATGATGGTGAGTGGCGTCTCGCGCATCCGTCGCCATCCGCTGCCATCTGGCCCATGGCTGGCGCCGCTCGGCCGGGGTCGGCCCTCTAAGGCCCTCCCCTGCCTACTGACTCTGTCCTCGCCCCGGCCCCCTGTCTATGGGCGACCCCGGCCCGCCGCGGCCTGGCTTGGCCCGGGCGCGGAGCAGGGGCCCTGGGGGAGGGCTGTGTGGGGCTCGAGGGGAGGCTCTGGGCGGGTTGGCTGGGGACTACAAGTCCCAGGGTGCTTCGGGGCCGCGAACCCGCGTCGGAGACCCGGTTTTTGGAGCCCCTCACAATCTTGAGTTGTGTTAAACGAGTGCGGATTGGGCGCGCATACGCGGTCGGCGAGCAGACGTGGAAGCCCTGGCTTCCCTGGGAAATGCGGGTTGTAAAGACATGTGCCTCCTAGAACGGGCAGAGGCAGCATGGGACCTTGCGTTGGGCTGAGCCCAAGGTCTCAACTATGGTCGCTCGCTACCCCCCAGCTCGGCCGCTGCTGATAAACGGAAACAGACTCCTCCCTCTCACTTTAATTCGTTCATCCACTCGTTCATTCGTTAAGTAAATGCGTATTTAGTGCCTACCGAATGAACCATGCCCAGCTGGTTGTTGGGGGTGCAACAACTCAGCCAGGAGAATGGGCAGGGCAGATGGGGACACTGCATCAGAGCGGGGAAGACAGGGCTCTGACTCCGACCCTGTCTGCCCCTTCGGATGTGACGTTAGACCAGGCTTTTCCAGTTGGCCAGCTCACCCTGGGTCTCGTTTTCTTAGATTAGGGAGGTTAGTGAATCCTAACCTAGGAGGCTCCCTGTAGCCCTCCCCGCCCTTCGGCAGCATCCCTTCTCTGCATCTCAGAGCTGCAGGTACTTTACATGAGACCCAAGCCTCGGTGGTAACTCCTGAGTTGCTGTTGAACAGGGCCAGCTTTTAAGGAAGTGTTTGAGGCAAAACCCGACTAAGTATTGCTCCCTGTGCACTTGGCAGTTCACTCTTTCGCTTTGGCCTATCAGTCCCACTCAGTTCTCTGTTCTTTTCCTGCTTCCTGCCTCTTCTCCCTGTCCTGGTAGATGTCAAGCTGACACCTGTGAGGTGTTCATTTCTGCTACCAAATGCCCTGTGACTCCAGCTTGTACCCAAGAGAGAAGGAACCTGGCATTTATCTGTACCCCCCTCCTCTTCATACCCCAGTACTGCCCTTTTTCAGTCCTCTTCAACATCATCTATTCCTGAAGTCCTCTTCATTTTCTGTGCGGAGGCAGCATAGTAGAGGAGTAGAGAGTAAGGGCTCTGGAGCCACACCAAATGCCTAGGTTTGTAATTCAGTACTGCCACTTACTAAGTGTTTGACTTTGAGTATGTCATTACATTTCTGGCCCTTAGTCTGTTAGAGGGGATTAAATGAATTAATACGTATAAAGTGTGCCCAGCCTGTAGTGAGCACTCAGCAAATGTTAGCTGTGCTGCTAGGCAGTTGCTTGCTTCCTTTCTTCCCTGTAATCCATCCTGCTGCCAAGGCTACCATAAGAGTTTTGGTTGGCATTCAAAGAATGGGGGTCAGAAGCAAGGTTCTTCTGTCCAATGATGAAACCGTTCCCCAAGAGGCTCCAGACCACCACGCTTGGGTTTTTCTGGGACTGACCCCTGCTGTTTCTCTGCTGTATTGGCTGTTTATATCTCTTCTTTTGGAATGTGAAACTTCTGCCACCAGAATCCTCCTTGCTGTCATCAAATTGGTCCTTGATATTCTAGAAGCCTTCTGTGATTGAAAGAGAGGTAAAAGGTCCCCCAAAACCTCAGTCCTGTGACTTTGGTACAGCTTGTGCCACAGAACGTCCTTGCCTTTGTGGTGTTGAGCGCTGTATGTCTTGGCATATCAACACCTGTTGTTGTTTTATAGAACATCAAGCTTAATAATGCTCAATAAAAGTTTTTAAGGAGGATGAAGAGGAAGATCATTAAGCTAAAATTCCCAAGTCTTCCATGATACCCTTTGCAGGGTACTGGAATCTGCTATTGTTTGTTTACATGAATACGAATGAGTGAGGTTGAAAAGTAACTTAGGGACAGAAGCTGGACTTTCCATAGTGGTGCCTGCCCCTGGGGAATGGATAGAAGAGAACCTATCCTGCTTGACCTGACTTAGCTCAATCCAGCTCTGCCACCTTTTCCTCTCTTCCCACCTTCCACATAGCGTCTCTCTACCTGGCCTGCCATTTCTATACAGCCTCCAAAGCATAGGGAACTTGAGGACAGTGTGGTCAGCTGCTTCCAGTCCCTTCTTGCTTTATACTTAAGAAGTCTCAATGAATTTAATGTCCCATACTGCCAATGCTTTTCCAAAAATAAGCCAGTGCTATCATTTCATGGCTTGTATCAAGCACTTTAAAGTATATGTAACAGGGCCGGCCCCGTGGCTTAGCGGTTAAGTGCGTGCGCTCCGCTGCTGGCGGCCCGGGTTCGGATCGCGGGCGCGCACTGATGCACCGCTTCTCCGGCCATGCTGAGGCTGCGTCCCACATACAGCAACTAGGAGGATGTGCAGCTATGACATAACAACTATCTACTGGGGCTTTGGGGGGAAAAATAAATAAATTATAAAAAAAAAAATAATGAACTAGCCTTATTGTGTGGCAGTCACCTAATTTAAAAAAAATAAAAAATAAAGTATATGTAACAGTTGAATTTTCAGCACCCAAAGGTGCTGTATATTGCTTCATATGTGGCCAAATCTAAGCACTCTACAAATTGAGATTACTATAGTTCTTACCTTTGGGAAGCTTCTACTTGTGCTTGACAATATAAAAGTTGTGCACAAGAGGAAGCAGAGAAAGAGTTATGGGATCCCCTGTTCAGGATGCTCTCTTAGCTGCTGTTGAGAAAGCTTCTTGGAAGAATTGGGGCTCTGGGGAATTGCTGGCCTAGTGGTAAGAAAGTCATTTTGGTAGAAAGTGGCTCTTATATATGGGAGTACAATTTGGTGGTAGAGGTGAGAAAAGTCTACAAAAGCATTGGATAAGTTAGTCTGGAGAGGTGAAAGAATCCATTGAAGGCCGTGGGATGGCATTGAGACTCAAGTTGGTTTTTGATTTAAAGTGTTAAGACTCCATCTGGGGCAGGGGTGGACCAAAGAAGGCTGGAGCCTGCCATGAGGAATGATTTACAGGACTGGGAGAAGGTGGGGCCTTTTAGGGGACATGCCTCTCCTTACAGAAGGTGTGAGGGGCCCAAAAGAATGCTGCGTGTATAGAGAAGCCGTTTCTTGCCACCAGACCTGGGATACTGCCATAAAACGGAAGGAATTTTCTCTCCAGCCATGCCTGGCCCCAGATTTAGGAGGTTATCTGACAGGCATTCTTTAAAAGAGAAAAAAGAGTAATGTATGATATGTTCATTAGAAAAATGTTGAAACACAACAGAAAATATACAATACGAAGTGTCAAAACCTTCTTTACTACCACTGTCTTACTCATTAGTTTGTTGAACATCTTTCCAGCCCTTTTGATGTATTTGCACATCATCTCTTGCCTCTTCTTACCCATTTTCTGTAGAGTTTTAATTTTTTTTTTTAATGTAAATCAGACTCTGCCATTCCTCTGCTAAAAGCTTTTCCAGGGCCAGCCCCATGGCTTAGCGGTTAAGTGCGCGCGCTCTGCTGCTGGCGGCCTGGGTTCGGATCCCGGGCGCGCAGCGACGCGCCGCTTCTCTGGCCATGCTGAGGCCATGTCCCACATACAGCAACTAGAGGAATGTGCAGCTCCGACATACAACTATCTACTGGGGCTTTGGGGGAAAAGATAAATAAATAAAATTAAAAAATAAAGGCTTTTCCAGGGCTTCCCTTCTTTGTAG